GTTTCGTTCACCAGGATATACATGATACCCGATGGAGGAACTGACTAAAAAGGCCACACTAGCCAAGAAGTTGGAACGAGTTCAAAGGGCTGCCCTAATTGGAATTAGTGGGCAGTTCGCACCACTCCAACGCTAACTCTAAACTTTATGTTAGGCACCGTGTCATTAGACACCACAGGCAAAGCTGCTGCGTCCTAAATGCTGGATTACCTCTCTCCGGATTATGGACACTAGGCGATCTTAAGAAAATTCAACTTCATGCGGATAGTAGAAGATCGGCACATATCCTACCAAGGACCGCATAGGAGATGGTAGTCTTTGGAGAAAAGGGCCGGTGAATATTTTGTAGTTACCAGATTTCTTTAGCGTACTCTAGGCAGCCGATCGGTTTCGCACTTGTGTGATACCACTTAAAGAGGTAAATATCAACTTTGACAGTCAAGCGGCGATCAGAGGCCTAGGATAGCTGATGGTAAGCTCAAAATTGGTCTAGCATTGCCTAATCTCTATCTCAATTGCCTCGATTTACTTCCAATTTGGACTGATCTGGAGTCCGGGCACAGCGACAATACAGGAAACTGCTGTGCTAGTGAACTGGCCAGCCAGAGCAACCAAGAAGCCATCACCAAGGAATGGGAGGTTATTGGGATACCTAACGCAACCTGCCGACTTCTGCTGGACAGCCCATTTAGTCGGTTCATAGTACGGTGGGTGGAAACCTCGACATGCAAATCTGCAAGGTCCTTTCAGCCGGTAGTTGATGGTGGGCGGTCTAGGTACCTTCCCCCGGCTGACTAAGCGATAACTCTCAGGTTCTGTGAGGGTTATGACTGAGGATTGCTGCGAACTTGCAGGTCTAAACATTTCGAGGCGTACTTCATAATTTCTCCAGAGGAACTTTCAAGAGTTGACATCAATAGCTTGCGGAACTTAATAACGGTACTAATACCGTTTAGAGCTGCATACCGCCTGGCCGCCTGGCCATCCCAGAAGATATTAATCATAGTAGGATAAACGCTGTAGTTGCCGGAATTCCGACGGATAATTCCATTCCTAGGTTGTATTAGGTTACAATGGTTGCCCTAGGCAAGGGATGCACTTGAACAAATAGGAGAATGTCATTTTTGACACCAAGAAAAACTGAACAGGAACCATTAATGCGGCTGATTTCGAAGCCTGAGAGATCAGCGTTAGTTAAGAAGTTCGAGCCAAATTGTTACCATATTAGCCTCGCGAAGGCTGAACATCAAAGGGGATCAGTTAAAATTCCTAGTCTTACTGCGTTAGTACCAATTTCACACTGGCTTGTCAGAACCCCCACGACTAGCGAGGGCTGAGGCTTTGCAAGTGTAAGGAGCTCTTGTTGTCGCCCTCGGTCCGCCCCAGACCAGATGGATCTGACAATACAGCAAGAGTGTACCGCAGGAGGGCAGAGGCGTTACAAGTTTCTCCATATCTGGTGATAACGTCAGGTCATCAGCCACGCAGTTTCCCTGTGACCCAGCACAAAAACAAACCTCATCTCCGACGTGATTGATAGAGAGGTAAGATATTCCTTTACAGATTTCGATGGCACCCATCATAGCGTTCAGGGCCCTGATATCCATCTGACTGTCGGGGTATATGCTAACTGACGTCACACTCTTTAGCAGTGAGTCTACCTCTGGCAGCTATTTCCGCCTGAAAGACACTGCATAAGCTCGGAAGCCTGAACATAGTTTTGATGAAGAGTTTCCGGCAGAAGACAGATCCAATAAGCCTGCCTCCAAGTTCTGATCCGTCCGTGGAGAAGTTTTCCGCTCCCTTCCTCCAGTAACCCGCCCGCGTAGTCCTCTCTTGAGGGAATGTAGGCTGAGAAGGAGCTGCTGGGAGCCAGTTCGGAGGCGCGGTAGTCTATCTGTTCAAGGACGAAGTCAAACACGTTAGGGAAAACTCAAATAGCTTAGATCCGTCCGTGTAACAATGTAATTACCCCATAAAAGTTTTCCACTTTCTTCTTTACGGGATTTTCCACTTAAAACCCCGATATCGAAGGTACGTTTACGGGCAGAGTAGTCGACTTCTTGGTTATTATTACCACGAATGTAAAGTATAGAAGCGTGGCCGAACCGCCGATCCTTCCAAAGCGGCATGCTTTTTAGTCTAGGAGCCAAAGCGGCGACTACGTGCCTTCCTACCAGATTTACTGCCGGCACGTTGGTTAGCACTTCCAGCGCTTTATTTGGGACTGCCGCTTAAGCACCAGAGATGCGTAAGAATGCTTTTATTTGGACCTTACAGAAGGATTTTAGGTTATTTTCCTTTTGGGTTGATGACTTCCATATAAGTATTCCATATAATACCAAACTATAGATGTGTAAAGCCAATTTAATGGAAAACAATGCCTGAACTATTGCAAAGTCATTTTACGTTTTTCGGTCCATGTAATAAGAATAATTATAATAAGTTGTTCCAAAATTTGTAAATATTAAACGGCAAAAAAATTAAATAAATAAAATTCTTTTTACAAGCTTTTATTTAACTTGCTCTGTATGTATGTTTGTTAGGGGAAAATTTTTGTAATCAATCCCGATGATCTAGAGACTTGAAGCTTCACAGTTGGCAAAGAACCCGATGCAAATGCAATGCGAAAGATGAGATAATCCGATAGGTGGCGCATGAGTCGATATATTTGGCAAAGCAGTATTTATGGTCCGATTTCGTTACATTTAGAAAGTTTGTTTTTTTAAATATTTGTTTTTTAAATTTAACTTATTTATTTTATTTTTTGATAACTTTAAAACAAAGTTTTTTAAGATACAACTTTTTTATCTTTTCAATATTTTTCAACTGAACCATTGTTGGTGGACAACCTTTTTATACACACTGTGGCAACCCGCTCGATGGCAACACTATCGTACTCGTCAGTTTAATTGTAGTCCACTGTGAATTATCTATTGTATGTAACCAAATCGTTAGATTGTCAAATTTGTAAGCTGCGGTTGTTCTTTTTCACTCGTTGAACATTTGCCCCAGAAGACGCAACCGCGGTAAGTAAATCAAATCGTAATTTGTCTTTATAAATTGTAATGCTAGCTCTTTAATAGAAATAAACCCCGCAATCAATAAGTACGCCACTGATGTGTTATTTTCGAGTCTTCGCCGAGTTCAGCGTTTACATCTTTATTTCGCGTTTATTGAAAAGAGCACGAAGAAGTTTGCAGTTTCGTTACAAATATTTGTGAGGTTATGGAGCGTACACCAAGAAGGAAAAGCCCTCGTTTCCAAGAGGAGCACATCGTGGAAAAAAGCAATAGCACGGGGAGACCAGTGGTTGATACAGCGATGGATGCAGATGTAACCACCGACCATACGAGCCAGGCACAGCAAAGTATCCCGAGTACCAGTTCAGCCAGATCAATTAGTGCTGTAAGCAGTGAACCACCTCAGCCTGTCGTGGTGGAAGCTGACCCCGTAGATCAGCGTGAGGCACAAGATAACATTATCTCTATTCTTCAGAAGCAAATTTCGTCATTGGAATGTGAGCTGAAAAGGGTACAAGGTAAGGTTAGGGAAAGTGAGGCGCAAAATTGCCAACTTAAAGTGGCGCTTCATGAACACGCATCGTCGCTTCCCGTTATGTGCGAAACGGTCAGAGATCCTGTTACATGCTCCGTTGATCGCTCAGTGCCAAGCGCCGCTGCTCTGCCTGCCGCGCTAAATTTCGACGCCGCTGCCGGCGCCTTTCAAGGCGCTATGAACAACTACGCTGCCGCGAGTAGAGCCGCTCTGCCTGCCGCGCCAAACTTCGACGCCGCTGCCGGCGCCACTCAAGGCGCTATGACCAACTACGCTGCCGCGAGTAGAGCCGCTCTGACTGCCGCGCCTAACTTCGACGCCGCCGCCGGCGCCACTCAAGACGCCATAACCAATTACGTTGCCGCGCGTGGCGCAGCTATGCCTGCCGCGCCAAATTTTGGTGTCGCGACTGGCGCCGCTCAACCAGCTGTGAGCCAGCACACATCCTCAAGTAGCGTTGCTCTGTCCACCATGCTTAACCTCGCCGTTCAGTCTGCTCCGTCCAGCTATGCTGCCGCGTATGGCGCCGCTCTGCCTGTGGCGCCTTATTTCACCGGCGCTGTCGCTCCTGCTGCAACGCCAACATTTTCCATCCACACTCCAGTAACGACACTCACTTCCGGCGCTTGCGTTCCTCCATTTACTGCAGCGCCAAACACCGCCGCTGCATCTGCCATAGCACCTAACTTCGCCGCGGCGCCTGCCGCTGCAACCGCCGTTGCTTCAGCCGCCGCATTACCAATCGTTGCTACTACGTTCGCTGCCGAAGCGCACCGCCCATCAATAGTCACGTCACCATATACCGCCGAGATTTATACCTCCCTGCCGCGCACTGCGGGCACCTATACCACCAGCGCTAGTCCCTTCGGAGCCTCAGCAGCTCCTTCAGCGATTGCCAGTGCTACGCATGCTGGCCTTGCCAACGCGTTTATTAGACCTTCGTTATCAGTAAATGACCATTCCATCGCTCCAGTTTCAGCTACCCCAGGTATGCCCTTTGGGGTGATGCAACCTCGAAAACTCCAAGACTTGCCGGAGTTCAGTGGTCTAGCCGAAGACTGGCCACAATTCATAACCGCGTTCACTCAGTCAACGTCTGCATATGGATACACTGATCTTGAAAACAACCAGCGCTTGCAGAAGTGTTTGAAAGGCGAGGCTAGAGAAACTGTGAAGTCCCTACTAATATATCCGAACCATGTCAGTGCTATTATCGAACATTTACGCTTTCGTTTCGGGCGCCCTGAGCAGCTCATTCAAAGCCAGCTTGCTCTCCTGAAAGATATAGCGCCTATAACAGAGAGCGGAGTTGTGAAGTTAATACCGTTCGCGTCAAAAGTCAGAAACTTGTCAGCATTTTTGCAATCCGCTGGGGGGCACCAACATTTAGCTAATCCATTCTTGATTTCAGAACTTACCAGCAAGCTGCCAATGTCAAGGAAGATCGAGTGGGCACGTTATTCTTCGGTGGTGCAGCCATATCCTACTGTGATGCATTTCAGCGACTGGCTGAGTGACACTGCCAATCTGATTTGCAGGGTACAGGAGCAGGAACATCGAGATGCTAAGCGTCGCGTAGTTCTTCATGCGATAGATGAACAGCGATCGAGCACACTAACGTGCTGTGTGTGCCAAGGTGATCACAAGCTCCCAGAATGCAAACGTTTTCTCGACGCGAGTGTTGCAGAGAGGTGGAAAGAGGTCAAACGGTTACGATTATGCTTCGGATGTCTAAGTAAAGGCCACTCGTCGCGCAATTGCCGGCTTCGTAGACCTTGTCCGTCCCATGGATGCAAGAGAACGCACCACCAACTGCTCCACGAGTCGACGCCTACGCGCTCCTCTGCAGAAAAATCTTCAGTAAGGCAAGGGCCACAACGTAACACCAACGAAGCTGCGGTTCTAAGCTGCGTTGGCCGTACTAGGTCGAGCAAGCTGCTGTTCCGAATCTTGCCGGTCACATTACATAATGGAAGAAAAAGTATCGACACCTATGCTTTGTTTGACGAGGGATCGTCTGTGACTATGATTGACGAGTCACTAGCTGTGGAGCTTGGCTTACGGGGTGAACACCAAAAACTGAATGTGCAGTGGTTTGGTGGTCACAAGGCGCAAGAGCCCTCTAAGGTTGTGAGCGTGTTAGTAAGCGGAACGGGAATGAAGAAGAAGCATAAACTGAGTAACGTCTTCAGTGTCTGTAACCTGAGTTTGCCATCGCAGAGCCTCAGCAAAACCGATATACGCAGTCATATCAAGCATATGAAACATCTGCCATTGTTGCCATATAGTGGAGCTTCGCCTAGACTCCTCATAGGGCTTGACCACTGCCATCTGGGTATCCCGACTGAGACCATGAGGATCCAAGCTAACGGACCATATGCCGCAAACACAGAGTTAGGTTGGACCGTGTTCGGGCCAACGATAAGATCAGTACCACGGCCTACAGCAAGTTCGTTCGTAGGGCATACCGTTGATCAATCACTGGAAAACATGGTATGCGAATATTTTGAAACGGAGAACTTTGGAGTAAAGCCGTCTCCACCAATTGAGGGAGCTGAGGACGCACGCGCGCGATCGCTACTAATTTCAACAACGCGTCGCGTAGACGGGCGATACGAGGTGGGCCTACTATGGAAACGCGACTGCATTAATATGCCCGAAAGCTACTCAACAGCATTCAAACGGTTGGTTCACATCGAAAAGCGTATGCAGAGAGATCTAGTGTTTCCGTCAGCCTATAGAGAAATAATCAACTCGTATATCGACAAAGACTACGCTCACAAAATTTCACCCGATGAGGCCTCACTGCATTGTCCCAAGACGTGGTACTTGCCGCACTTCGCCGTCACGAACCCAAACAAGCCAGGAAAGCTAAGGCTAGTTTTTGACGCCGCTGCCGAGTCATATGGCGTGTCATTAAACTCAGAGCTACTGAAAGGGCCCCAAGAGTACCGATCTCTTCCGTCTGTCTTATTCCACTTTCGCGAAGGAGCAATAGGTGTGTGCGGAGACATAAGAGAGATGTTTCACCAGATACGAATTCGAGAAGAAGATCGATGTGCACAGCGATTTCTATGGCGCGACGGAGACAACTCAAGGGAACCTGACGTATTAGAGATGAAGGTGATGACGTTTGGAGCGGCATGCTCCCCATGCGCTGCACAGTACGTAAAGACGTTGAATGCCTTGGAGTATCAAACCCAGGCGCCACGAGCAGTGCAGGCAATTCTCGAGCGGCACTACGTTGACGATTTCGTCGACAGCTTCGACAATGAAGAAGAGGCGACCGAGGTGGCTCAGAAGGTGCGAGCGATCCATAAGCAGGCCGGGTTTGACTTACGCAATTTTACATCCAACTCGGACAAGGTACTTGCAGCACTGGGTGGTACTGCGACAGCAAAACCCATCATGAGCGAGGAGGGGCTAACTACAGAGAAGGTTTTAGGTATATTTTGGCAGCCTTCGACTGACAGCTTCAAATTTAGGTTGAAGTTTCACAACATCAACGAAGCAATTATCGTGGGAGAAAGGCGCCCTACTAAACGCGAGATGCTCAGCATTTTGATGTCGATCTTTGACCCTCTCGGGTTCATCAGCCACATAACGACAACCGCTAAATTGCTTATACGTGAGATATGGAAGAGGAAGTTGAGCTGGGACGATCCACTCTCCGATGACCTCACTACTGCTTGGCGTTTATGGCGCCAAAACCTTTCGACAGTGACCGATCTGGAATTTCCAAGGTTTTATTTCCAAGGCGGAAGGCCAGGAACGATGCAACTCCACGTGTTCGTCGATGCTAGCGAGCAAGCATTCGCAGCGGTCGCATATTGGAGAACAACGAGCTCAACAGGGAAAGTTAACGTGGCGTTCATCTGCTCCAAATCGCGATGCGCTCCACTAAAGCTACTAACTATTCCGCGGCTCGAGCTACAGGCGGCAGTCCTCGGCACGAGGCTTATGCAAACTATTCGCGAGCAACATTCGGTTTCTGCATCTGACTGCATTCTTTGGACGGATTCGAAAACCGTCCTTAACTGGATAGGGAGTGAACATAGGCGTTACAAGCCCTTCGTTGCTCATAGAGTGGCAGAAATTCTATCCGCAACGACGGTATCTGATTGGAGATGGGTTCCAACAGATGAGAACGTAGCTGATGAAGCTACCCGAGCAAAACGAGTTGAATGCGAACATGGTTCACGCTGGTTATGTGGTCCAGCGTTTTTGAGGCTGGATGAAGAACATTGGCCGAAGAATCACTATGCTTCCGATGGCCTCGCTGAAGACAATGAAGAGCTCCGACAAAAATACGCCTTGGCCATAGTAAGTCAGGAGTTTATAAATTATAGTCGCTTTTCCTCATACAACAGGTTGGTGCGAGCATTAGCATGGGTAACTCGTTTTGTGAGCCGCTGCCGCCATGGTAAACAGCCGGACGAACTTTATGGGTTGACTGCGTGGGAAATTGAAACAGCCAAACATATCCTTTATCGTTGGGTCCAGGAAGAGGCGTTTTGTTCCGAGCTGCGTCTCATAGAGAGAGGCTTACCTGTTCCCCGATTTAGTGTACTGCACCAGTTGACACCATACATAGGTGATCACCAAATCCTCCGAGTACGGGGACGCATCGATGCAGCAGAATGGCTACCCATAAGCACACGCCGACCAGTTATATTGCCGTCAAGCCATTTATTCACCAAGCTAGTAGTGAGCCATCACCACAACGCCATGAAGCACCAGAATAGCGAAGCTACAATTTGTGAAATACGTAGCCAATTTTGGATTCCACGCTTACGCAAACTCCTGCGTTCCGTCATTGCCAATTGCCCAGTCTGCCGAATAGCCAAGGCCGCGCCAGTTGCACCAATAATGGGTCCTCTACCAGTCGATCGCCTAACACCATATGTGAGACCGTTCACTTACACCGGTCTCGACTACTTTGGGCCAATCAATGTTGCTGTCGGACGCCGTCAAGAGAAGCGCTGGGTGGCACTCTTCACGTGCCTCACTATCAGAGCCATTCATCTGGAACTCGCGCACGACTTGAGTACGGACTCGTGTATTGTGGCAATTCGCAACTTCACCAATCGGCGTGGGGTTCCCGTACGGATGAGGTCGGACAACGGAAAGAACTTCGTAGGAGCGAATCAGGAAGCGAAGAGATTTAGCGAAGTTTTTGACTGCGAACGTTTGCAGGGTGAGATGGCGACGAAAGGCGTTGAGTGGTGGTTCAACTGTCCTGTAAATCCGTCCGAAGGTGGAGTATGGGAGAGGATGGTACAATGTGTAAAAAGGGTGTTGCGCCACACGCTCAAGCAAGTGACACCGAGGGAACATACACTAGTTTGTTTTTTGATTGAAGCGGAAAACATTGTGAATTCGCGCCCTCTCACACATCTCCCGATCTCCGCTGATCAAGACGAGCCACTTACACCAAACCACTTCCTGCTCGGGTCAGCGAACACCGCACATACGCCAAACAAAGCCGTTGAGCCAGAAAGGTTGTGTGCCTTGCGCAAGCAGTGGCGTATCGCGCGTCAGTTGCGAGACCACTTCTGGAAAAGGTGGATCGCAGAATATCTTCCTACCTTAACACGCCGGACGAAGTGGTGCGAATACACAAGGCCCTTGAAGGTGGGAGATATAGTCTTCATATGCGATAACAGTCTGCCTAGAAACCAATGGAGCCGCGGTGTGGTGGAGCAAGTTCATCCGGGAGCGGATGGAGTGGTCAGGCAAGCGGATGTACGCACAACCAGGGGAATATCTCGTCGTGCCGCGTCGAAGTTAGCCGTGCTGGACGTGGAAGTTGGTGAATCTGGTTGATTCACGGGGGCGGGGGTGTGGCAACCCGCTCGATGGCAACACTATCGTACTCGTCAGTTTAATTGTAGTCCACTGTGAATTATCTATTGTATGTAACCAAATCGTTAGATTGTCAAATTTGTAAGCTGCGGTTGTTCTTTTTCACTCGTTGAACATTTGCCCCAGAAGACGCAACCGCGGTAAGTAAATCAAATCGTAATTTGTCTTTATAAATTGTAATGCTAGCTCTTTAATAGAAATAAACCCCGCAATCAATAAGTACGCCATTGATGTGTTATTTTCGAGTCTTCGCCGAGTTCAGCGTTTACACACACAGATTTCTCTTTATGCCTATCTGACAAGCCGTAACCAGAACGACGACTTAAAGCTGATATGTATGCGTTATATATGTACCTGTCAAAGTGTGGCTGTGGCTATTTAAAGAACAGAATGTTTATTTACGTACATACCAACGCGTTGGCCTCATATTCTACTCCAAAGCACTAAGCCTTAGATACGAGTACCATACGAGGACTAACGCAGTACAACACAACTTTTCCTCGATGAGTATAACCTGTTGCTCATGAAAAGTACATACATATGTACATACATACACACTATATAGTTATTGATTCATGTTATGCTATTAATATGTCATATATTTCGCTGTAAATATGTAGCTATGTGGAAGATCAGACGTTTTTATTATTGTAATGAAGGTAAATATTTACTATATAATGTATATGTATACAGTCTGTATGTATATACCTACAATCTACGCACAAAGTTTTATTAAATTGTAATTCGCAAAGTTCGAAGTTAATTAGTTTTGTTACGAATCGAATAAAACAAATTGTTGCTAAAACCTACGCATGAAATTTCATAATTAAATGCATTGACAATTTGTATGTATGAACCAGTGTAATAATAATAATAATACTAATCATAAAAGTGTATGACATGCAACACAAATTGATGTGGTCGAGTTTATGCAACGATTTTTAGTGTATAATTATTTCCTTCAAATTACAGCCAGTTTAAATTTGGAAATTTAAGCAGATATCAGCAAAATCAAGCGAGTATGAAACGAATAGATGATTTCTTTTTCATGTATTCCTAATTTGACATGGCTAAAAGTAAAGTCGGAATTTTAATGCTCCCACCCCCTAGGATTCTTCTATATTGAAAAAGAGTATACCCCTATTTTTTATTTTTAAATCAAAAAATATTTAGAAGTCGCCCATGTATTTTTGTATGGGAAAAAACAACTCTTCGTAGACATGGTATACAACTCTGGAAAATCAATATTTTCGATCGAAAACTCTGGTTCTCTTCAGGAGACTTTAAATAATAATACCCAATGGTTTATTTAAGCATTTTCAATACTGACGATTTTTTATTGGTCCTCCCATTGCCTTTTCCGGGGTTTTTGTTGGTTTTTGGCGGACCTACTGTAAATTATAGTTGCGATGAAAAAATGGTTAAGTAAACAATTGGATATTATTACTGGGAATCAACTGCAGAGAAGCAGGGTTTTCCGATACAAAAATACTGATTTTTAAGAATTCTATACCATTTCTACGAAATGTTGTTTTTTCCCCATATAAAATACATGGAAAACTTTGAGCGCTTTGAACGACCTTTAAATATTTTTTGATTTCAAAATAAACAAGTATTAAAGTCTAAGTTCGGGTGGGCCGAACATTAAATACCCGGCGCAAGTATTACATATATGCCTTTTCACCTTTCCGAACGCTACCGCAACATGTTAAGCCGGGGTGTATCAATTTTGAGTAAATTAGGGTCCTTAAATTTCGAAATATTGAAGTTTCAAGCTTTTCTGAAATTTACCGTTATATGAAAAGCGGCCTCAATTTTAGTGTGGTCTCAATAACTTTCAACGTTTTTCTTTTATTTGGCAAGCACAATAACCATACCGAGTTTGGTACAAATTGGTAGAACGGTTACCGAGATACATATATGTGATCATAAGTGGGCGGTGTCACGCCCATTTTCCAAAATTTTATCATAAACGTATTTCTTGGTAAAGAAATGTTTCAAGCATCAATTTTGAATAAATTAGCTTTAATATTTACTGATATCGAAGATTTCGTATTTCTCCAAATTACCGTTATATGAGATGTGGGCGTGGTTATTGTCCGATTTTTTAAATTTTCGGCCATTTGGTATGCTGTAGCAAGGCTAACAACCGTGCCAAGTGTGGAAGAAAAACTGAAAATCCTACCATCCATAGTCAGTTCCTAATTTCCTAGTATTCTAATTAACCTAGAATAGTCTATGGTTGACAACTTTTTTCGTGTGCCTTTGTAATTAATATACTACTGCCTTCGAATTTTCCACCTAGCAGTTCCAGATTTGTTTTTAGGTTTTGGTGTGTTCACAAAAATTAAGGCCAGAGACATTCTGAACAACTTTTCAAAGTAATTTTGCCGAAAAAAAACAACCGGATAAAAGTTATAAACCATAAAATCTATCTATACAATAGGCGAAGGGAATTTTTCTTCCAGATCATCAGATCTGCACCGTTCGTTCGATTTTCAAAAATGAGTCAAAGTAAAAGGCTTGGCCTGCAGATGTGCAGTAAAGTTTTAGTTTTTCGGAGTTTCCACCTGTTAAAAAATTAAGTGCAAATTATTTAATAATCAATGCTATTAGTTCCGCACCATTCGATTTTCAAAAGTGAAGCGTCAAATTATAGGATTTGGGCTGGAAATGTGAAAAAAGGTTTTACTTCTTCGAAAAGTGTTGCCACCTTAAAAAAAAATAAATTCAAAATCCTTAAAATGTAAGTCTATTATTATAATATGTATATCAACCGAAAAGTCTTTATTTCTTAAAATCTATCTATTTCTAAAAATCAAATTCAATTTGGATTAATGGAATGAGATAATTGAAATACGTATGTATCGCCATATGGGTGCCAGGCGAAAGAGGTTTAAAAAGGTAGTAGTTAAAAATATTTTTAATAGGGTTACCACCTATTTTAAAAGTCGAATTTAGTTAACTTATGCACAAGTTGTATGAAATATTAAAATATTGGTGCCAAACGAGAGAAGTTTAAGAAACCTTTAGTTTGAACATTTAGAATTTTTTGAAGAGGGTTGCCACCTGTTGAAAAAGTCAAATTCAAATAATTTAATTAGTTAAATGAGTTATTAAAAGATGGGTATTAAATGAAACGCATTTACTTCCGAAATGTATTTAGGGGAGTTGCCACGTGTTTAAAAAATTTAATTCAATTAAATTTATTCGTTATTTGAAATAGATACATATGTATTAGGTCAAATGTAAGACAAATAAATAAGATTTTAGTTTGAAAATACTTGTAAGAAAGGTTGCGACCTGTTTGAAAAATTGTAAGTACTTTATAAGCATGTTAAATGAAATATGAGTGTGAAACGAAAAACTTTAGAAAACTTTAATTTTAAAATATCTTCGAAAAGTACACATGAAGGCATCTTTTGTGTAGGTCATCATATCTGCACTGTTATTTCGAATTTCAAAAATGCAATAAGGTTTTATTTTTTCAAGGTAAAACTTTTTCAGCGGTACAGGGTTATTTAATATTTACGAAATTAAAAACCCAAACCATGTTAGACCCCTCTTCACTCAGAAGTTTCTGGACGGATTTACATAAAACATATGGAATATTTATTTAGATGTCTAAAAAGTTAAATTCAATTTTGGCATTTTAACGCCATGCGAGCTCACTAGTAGGGTAGGGTGAAAAATTCTACTTGGAAGTAAAATTCTAAAAAAAAGCACTCAAAAATTATGCAGTTCGATTCACCATACTCGAAATGGGATGAAACCTTGCTCTCCGGCCATGTCTTTGAAAATTTTTGAAAAATGCTATCACGGCGTCATTTGAGGAGTATCTAATCGAAAGCTGCTATTTTTAGTTATTTATGTACATATATTTTAAAGATGAGCTGTATTTTAAATGTTGCCTACTACACTTAAGAACATACCTAATATGTTTTTTAAACTACTAAAGCTTTTCAATTCGGTATAAATTATGACGTTTTCAAAACCACTTGGCGTAACTTCTTCTTGACTAATAACTTTTACTTCAATATATAACAAGTAATTTTTAGCAAACTTCAACTCTCATATAAAAAAAAATATATATATATATATATCTCATGATCCACTGATCGGATCTTAACCAGATTAGTATGGGACCACCTCTGAGACACTACCTTTCCGATGCAAAAGAAGCTTTTTTTATGACAGAAGTACAGGCGTTTGCCCTGTTCTGCCGAGGCGCGAGCTCAAAAACTGTTCTACTTCAGAGGTCATAAAAAATGTCGCAGATTGGAAAGTGTGTACTTTACCACATGCTGACGAAATGTACACAACACACAATATAGTTATGGACATAACATAGATCATAGCGCACTATATATACTGAGGTTAATCTAGTATTTCACCATTCGCTTAAAATTACCTTTATTCAAAAATCTACAATTTTATCAAGCTGAATAAAAAATTTTTTGTGAATGAGAAGTAATATTTAACTATTATTTACATACATAAATTTGCACAATACATTACCAGTTTTTGTTTGTACGAGTATATTAAACACAAATATATACAACACAAATAACTAGGGTGCTAATTTTCTACACGCCACATTATTCGTTGGCAAAATTACATAAATACAAACATACACACAAACAAACTTTTTAAACCAACTGGCGCTAAAAATAATTCCACCGACGAATGGAACGAATGCGCATTAAATTCCCATTTAATCAATTTAAGCTCACACTTTCGCTGTGGGCGCTTAAGCGGGTTCTTATATAAAAATGTATACATACATACATATGTATGGGTATATACAAGGATTGCACAACCACAGCGTTAAATGAGATGGAAGTTTTTACGGCCTTATATATGTAGCAGGAGAATACGCTACGTAAAGATTTTATGGGCCATGAAGCGTCCTAAAATCGATTTAAACTGTTGTAGAAAAACAATTAGTGGCTTGCGTTACCTTCACGTACATACATATGTGTGTATGTAGTAGGCGCTTTGCCTTAGGTACAACACCTTTAACCTAATCAAATATGTACTCTGAAGCTTTGTGTACTCAGAGAGTAAATAATGAAAGTAAATTAAATGCATGTCAAAGCTTTTGAGACTTTTTGGTAATCCACATTCGCTTGTTTATTTGTCGTTAATTTAAAGGGTTCGCATACGCACATCACATACATATTTAGTGCTTCCTGGATGCACGTTTCATGATTGAGCCAAAAATATTTAGTAATATATTTGAGTAAATCTCACGAGTTGTTATATTTTCC